ATTTATTCGAAAATTAAAACATAAATATGTTAGAAAATCACTACAAAAATGGCCATTTTGTTTCAACATTTCTGGTGTTTTATCAAGTGATGGTGTTGAATGGAGAAAACTCTTTTTTCTACATTCAACACCATCACTTGATAAGACACCCGAAGTGTTGAAACAAAATGGCTATTTTTGTAGTGATTTTATAACATATTTATGTTATAATTTTTGAATAAATAACTATATATATATATATATGTGTGTGTGTGTGTGTGTATCGCTTTGTTAATAATCTTTTTTGCTTACTTTTGTGCTTTTCATATTTTTACTTCCTTTTTAGTCACTAAAATACGTTCATGGCACGTATCCTTCACTCCGCCATGATTACTTCTGTCTATCACCCCCACATAATGTTCTCTCTGTTACACATATCTCATCACCTTTGAATATCTCCTCTCACCATCGATTAGACGCTGAAATAATAATAATAATAATGATAATAATAATAATAATAAGCTACCCTACTCATTACTAGTCTTTTTTTATTTTCTTCCTATTTCTTCTTTTAATTCTTATCTTTAAGCTACAATGAAACTATGCGATGCCTTAATGGCTACAAATCGTCTACAACAAATTGAGTCTACAAAAAAAAAGAAACCTCGAAAGAATAAAAATTATATTCAATTTACTCTTTCAAAAAAGTTGTTCATAACCTGCAATAATTCGCGTGTAATCACGTTAAGCTAGCAAAGAAATCGGGTCGATTCCAATAAATATCGAAACGACCAACTCTCGTGGAATAATCTCGTCAAGCGAAGTCACGTTCGACTGAGATCCGATTAATGGGGTTGCAATAATGAGGCTAAAGAAAATACGGAATAGAATTAACAGGGGAAATAACAATGGCAATAAATGGACTTTGAGAAGTAGGCATTTTAAACCTCACTATCTTTAAATGGGCATCAGATGACCGATTGTCATGACCTTGTGCCAAATTAGGCTAACATAATTAAATATCAATAATTGAAAAATCCAGATAGTTATAGAGCGCGTCAGATGACCCAGTGTTATGTCGTTGTGTCAGATTTTGCTAAGTTAATTAGATATTAGCCAATTCAATATCGCAAGAATTAAAAAAAAATGACCCGCTGTTATTGACCTTGAACCAAATAAATGTAGATTTTTTTAACCTATCCCAAGCGGAGGATATTTCTATTTGTCCCCGAACAACTTTGGGTACGTCACTAAAAATAATAGTAGGCATTCGTTTATATGGCGAGAAAAAAGCGGCAGCTCCCTGCTTAGCAAAAATCCAGTCTCTGTGCGACACTGAAATCCAAAGGCGCATTGGGATAGCGAAAGATGTCTTTCAAAAGCTTAGCAAAGTATTAAGAAACAGGGAAATTTAAATATCTGGGAAGTGTTATAACAAAGGACGGAAAGTGTGACACTGAAATCCGAAGGCGCATTGGGATAGCGAAAGATAGCTTCCAAAAGCTAAGCAAAGTATTAAGAAACAGGGAAATTTAAATATCTGGGAAGTGTTTTAGCGAAGGTCGGAAAGTGTGACACTGAAATCCGAAGGCGCATTGAGATAGCGAAAGATGTCTTACAAAAGCTAAGCAATGTATTAAGAAACAGAGAAATTTAAATATCTGGGAAGTGTTTTAACAAAGGACGGAAAGAGTGACACTGAAATCCAAAGGCGCATTGGGATAGCGAAAGATAGCTTCCAAAAGCTAAGCAAAGTATTAAGAAACATAAAAATTTCATTAGAAATAAAGAAAAGACTAGTGGAATGTTAAGCAATATCGGATGACTTTTCACAGATGAAGAAGAAACCTGAAGCAACAGAAATTGTGGTTCTGCATAAGGATGCTAAGAATTTATTTTATTTTGTTCTTATCAACTTGATACGAAAAGACATTATTCCTAATAAAGAACTGATGGTACTACTAGCCACCTGAAACATTTTTGGGAAGAATATTAAAATAATCCGGTAGCAAACGACCTGCATATGGATAGAACATGAATTCAGTAAATATACAAAAATAGAAAGGAGCCTAAGGCAAGGATACGGCTTCTCGCCAGATTTATTTAACCCATGCAGTGAGGCGATTCTGAGAGAATTACAAGTCCTACCAGGATGCATTATTGGTGGCCATAATCTTAAAAAAATATATGCAGATGACACAATGCTGATAGCAGACAAAGAAAAGAAACTACAAGAATTGATACAGAAAGTAGGGAAGGAAAGTGAGAAGAAAGGACTAAACATCAATTGCAAGAAGTCAGAATGCATTGTTGTCAGCGAAAGAGGCAGCCCAACATGCAAATTACAAATTGGAGATGCCAAAATCAAACAAGTACAATAATTTAAATATCAGCGATGTAAACAGAGAACAGAAATTGGGACACTAAATTCTGAAGGGGCATTGGGATAGCGGAAGTTGATTTTCACAAGTTAAGTAATGTATTAAGACACAGGAAAATTTCATTAGAAACAAGGTAAAAAGTTCTGAACTGCTATGTTATATAAGTCCTGCTATATGTCAGTGAATACAGGACAATCTCATTTCACAGATGAAAAATAAATGAAGCAACAGAAATGTGGTTCTACAGAATGAGGAAAGAGGGTTTGGAAAATGTGATACTCACAGGACATATTTTAAACAAGAGAGACAAAGAAAAAAACGTATAACCTCTCGAGCAAACTTGAGTCAATGGATAGTGGAACGAAGTTTTAGGAATCAAACAATTACAACAATTTAAATATCTGAAAAGTATTTTGAACAGAAGTCAGATATTGGGACACTAAAATCCGAAGGGGCATTGGGATAGCGAAAGATGTTTTTCACAAGTTAAGTAATGTATTAAGCAAGAGAAAATTTTCATTAGAAACAAAGAAAAGATTCCTCAACTGTCATGTAATATATGGCAATGAATTCTGGTCAATGGAAAGAAATAGAAAGGAGTATTATACTTAACATTATGATTTAGTGGTCTATTTGTTTTTTCTCGACTCATGTCAAACCTCAGGGTTACTATATGTAGTGGTATGTTAGTAAAAATTGACCTTTTGTAGATGTCTGTTTATGGCTGCGGGAATAACATGACCACACAATTTATATTAAACGTAAAAATCATACAAAACATGAAATGGAAGAAGGAACAAAATGATTTTAAAACATAACATTTCTATTTATTTGTGGTATTGATGTACATACGTAGAAGTTAAAGATCTGTTGGAGTTATGTCCCTTAGCCTGGGAATATTTTTATCTGAACTCACAAAAGTTGAATTAATTATAAAGCTGAGAAATGCTTAATAAACAGTAGTTTCAGAAGAATATTTAAGGAGAAAAGTTCTTGTTGCATGTTTGGAAATGTTCTGCATGTTTGTAATGTAGGCTGGACAAGTTCGTACGTACGTGCGTGCGTGAATATGCTTTTAACGTCTGACCGCCTATGGTCGAGACGAGAATCCTTTTGCAACTACATCTGGTAGCGAGAAGAAAGAGGGAAAGCAACCTCGTGTCTGTTACTTATATTTGATGTAATCCCGTGACAGGCTCACAGAAAATGGCGGGAAAACTTGACTTGGTCACGCGCTGGAAAAATATTTGTACGTGGGTGGATTGCCACGACCACTTGTGTGTTTATTGACCAATTAGAAGCTGATTTTTCCTGAAAATATTTACTAAGCTGAGTAGGTTCTCTGATCCACCTTTTGCACAAAAATGTACAAAATTCAACATTCATAAGAAAGTGGTAGCTTTTTACCGTGTTTGGATGTGACCGCAAGGGAGCTTAGGTTTAAAATCAGGGTTTTCTTTCTCCTAGATAGACTGTCTTCCCTGGCTGACTAGCTACCCGTAGCTAAAAAATAAACTGTTGTAGAAAAAGGCCTAACGAATAAAGGAATACATTAGAAATATAATCATCGCAGCAATAACTGACAAGAAAACATCGAATTTATCAAATTTGAATATTTCGACGCGGTGCAGTGAGTTCGATCTTCATTCGGTGCTCCACACTTTCGACATTGTCCTACATTTTTGGTAGAACTTCGTCGTGGTGTAATGTTCAGCAAGCTTGTCTTTCTAGATCAGTTACGATTGAGTAGTGAGTTAGATTCTCACTGTGTGCGCCGTACTTTCGGCCTTGTGCCACATCTAAGCTATGTTTTTAAAAAAAATCACCGTCGAAGCTGGAAAAAATATATTTTTTTTATTTATGTGTTCATAAACATTTCTATTATAAATAAAATTTCAAATATATATTTTTTTTTCGCAAAAACATACGGACAAATATAGAAATAGACCTCCACATCTGCATCTGTGAGCGTCACAGATGCAGATGTGGAGCCTCCATCGATGTGTTTGGTTTGCATCCTCTCTCCTGTCGTCGTAGTGCCGTCCGCTTTCCATGGCATGCAGCCATTAACGACATCATCAGAAGAGGTTTGGATGCAGCTGGGTTCCCTTCCCAAATCAAACCCGTAGGCCTCGACCGCGGTGATGGAGAGAGGCCGGATGGCATTACCATTTTCCCTTTTAAAATGGGGAAGTCGTTGATTTGGGATGCGACCTGTGCGGATATATTTTCGGCCGGTAATTTGATCAGGTCCACGGTTGAGCCGGGGTCCGTCGCCTGGGACACAGAGATGAAAAAAATAGTTAAATATTCTTCTCTTGCTGATAGATTGATTTTTTTTTTACTCCTGTGGCAGTGGAGACTTCAGGGGTTATTGTCCCTCGTTCGATGGCGTTCCTTCGGAGGATTGGCGCGATTGCGCCTCGATTAAGGAGTGAGCCTCGCAAAACGGAGTGGCTCTTGCAGCGTGTCTCACATGCGATGGTTCGAGGTAATGCTTTCTCCATCATTACGGCTGGCAGAGGATAGAAAAAAAATTGTTTATAGTTACTTTGTTCAAACCTTTTTTTCAATAAATAAATTTCTCATGACTTAAAAAAAAAATAATTGAAATAGAACCTGAAAAATTATTTATAAAAGGTGACGTCATCAAACGTCAAGATGACGTCATTAGTTTCAGACGCAATCGGTCCGGGAGAGGTGTCGCGGCGAAAGCGGTTCCGGCGGGGAGTTTCTCGCTTCCTTCCGCCTGCCTAGCCGTGCCCGATTCGGCCAGCGCTTGCCGTCTTCGTCCCGTCGTCCGCTTTTCCCCCTTTTCCTCCGTCCGTCCCGTATCGGTTCCTCCACGATTTTCCCGTCGCCGGGAGATGACGCAAGGGGCTCAGGCGCTTGTGGCGGGGGGAGAACTCACGGGGGTGCAGCCTCAAACTTTCTCACTGGCGATGGTTCGAGGTAATGCTTTTCTGCATCATTTCGGCTGGCAGAAGATAGAAAAAATTGTTTATAGTTACGTTGTTCTGGAATTGTCATCAATGGTCAGCTGAACTTGTTTTGTTTCAATGATGAAAGGTTAAAGAAAAATAGCTGCAAAGTTTTAAACAACTTAAGTCATAATTTTGAGCTCGATAGCATTTTAAATATGGCGGACAACTCTCCGACCGGCTTTTCACAATTCTAAAATAACCTGTCTATGATAAAGTAATTGAAACTCACCTGAAGCGAGCTGAATGTGTAATGCTCCTCATGCCAATGACACTTCCACCGAGCTTCTCTACGGCATATGACTTCACTGAATTTTAATGTGTTCCTCTCGAATTTATATTTAAACTGGGGTCATCAGGAGAGAATGTGCACCGTTTCGGGTCCTTCCTCTCAACGGTTTCAGTTGCACACTGGCCCCCTCACTTATGTGAGGCCCCATTATAACGATATACAAGTGTTGTAGATAAACTAGTTCAAATGTGTAACGGCGAAATTAAATTTACGAAAATTCCGAAAATCGGCAAACCTCGCGTCCTGAGAATGCAACGTGAACCTCATTACGCATTCACGATCAGTCATGTCATGCCGTCATGTCCACTGAAACACTCCACGGAGTATTTCGTTTTTTCCATATCCACATAGAACTATTCTCAGTTATTTCTATTAGGCGTTTTATACTTTTGGCCCTATTACGCCCTTTGATTCCAATTTGGCCCAGAAATTGGTACAGAGTGCCTGAAACGAAACCCCTTGCTCCGATTTCCACTGCTCTAACAATTACATTATACCCCTCCTTTATTAGCTCTGATTTTAGATTTTCATGTTTATTAATTTTATAATCGTGGCTTTGTGCCATCCGGTTTTCATATGGTACTGTTAATTCAACCAGGATGATTTTATAGTTCACCCTTGACAGAAGAACAATATCTGGTCGCAGACCTTTACTTGATATTATTTTGGGCTAATCATTACGCCAACCAGGAAGGTCTGCAGATACCTCCCAGATGCCACCAGAACTAAGGAAATTTTTTCCGGGTATAGCATGACATTTGCTTGTTTGCTTAGAATCGACATATCTTTTTTCTTCTGCAACAAATTTCTGGGCTGAATTAGATGACTCAGACTTCATATATTTCTTTAAAATTTTGACCAGCTCATCCAAAACACTATTGTGCCTCCATGTATATCTTCCATTGACAAAGGGCTGTTTTACAGGAACTAAGAACATGTTCTAATGTTTGTGGATTTTCCTTACACGGGGGAAAAGTAGGATCACTCTCTTTCTTCGATTTAACAAGGTTGTTCTTAGATGGTAGCAGGTCATACGTGGAACGTATTAAATAGCTCAACCTGAGTGGAGCCATCGGCCAAATGTCCTTCCAAGTAATAGATTTCTCCCAGTTTGTCCATTGGCCGTGTTGGGATTGTTGCACTCCTTTTACAAGTCTTTTTTTATCTTCTTCGTTCATCACATTTTGGATGACCATGTCACGGCGATCTTTACCAGAAGTTTTCGACCACCATTGCCTTTTATTTAGTCCTAACCTTTGTTTCCCTGCTTGAGTGTATCCGATGACTAGATTGTCTTTAGCATTTGTTATCGTCACTCTGACTTTCCACTTTCTCCCTGTTTTTAATGTAGGCTTTAATGCTTTTATTGGTTTATCCTTGGAGTCATCCAACATCATTTGAATTCTAATTTTTCCGGATTTATACTCTTCCACAATCGATTTAAATAGCAACTTTAGTTTTGCATGTCTGCAGTACAATGCGATATCACACAAACCTGGAGGCAAACCCAACCATTTTCGGATGTATTTATTTATTTTCCTTTCCATTGACTCAATTGTACTCATTCCAAATTCGTACACAAGTATGGGCCATAGTAGCTTTGGAATGAGCACATGCTCTAAGCACCATACCTTGTATTTTCCTTTTAGAGGACAAAGATCTATCTTATGGAGATCTTCTTGTAATGACCTGGATGTTTCTTTTACTTGGTTGGTATCTTTTAAGGATTGATCGTACCACCGACCTAAACTTTTCACTGATTTTTCTGATACAGTAGGGATTCTTTTTTGGGCTACTACAAAATTTATGTTTTTTATTCAACTTTTCTTTTGTAAGAGAAAGACTTCTGGACTTGTTTGGTTTAAATTTCATTCTACACCAACTTATCAGGTCGTCTATCAAGCTTAATATCTTGTGAGTTGAACTTACTTTGGATGAGAGGATTGTAGTGTCATCCATGAACGCTTTCACTGGTGGCATTTGACAACCTCCACCAAGCTCAACAACATCGGCCTTGTCGTTTGTCGCTTTAGAATAGAATCAATATCACGCTGTAAAATAGAAACATTTTACTTGTAAATATCTAGTTTTGATCGCCATAAGTGTACCAGGCTTACATGACGTTGAAACAGTGGTTCTTGTACGATCAGCGAAGTTAAGTAACATCGAGCCTAGTCAGTACCTTGATGGGTGACCGCTTGGGAAGACCAGATATTGCAAGCTTGAATGCGCGGGTAATGTAATGGATAATAGCCCAAAACTTTAATCGGAAAGCTAGTCGAGTTCGTTTAACTCGCTTACGCGCAAATACCCTCGAGAAAGGTATGAATCCACTTCGTCTCTCCCCAGCTATGGGTTAATTAGCAATGTTTGTATCATTATTGTATCAAAAAAAATTCTTACAATCTAAAAATATTTTCTGGCTTTAAATAACCTTCAAATGGTTGATTAGCATTAGGAAACGAATCAATCAATGAAATACTTTGCTGGACATTCATTTTTATTTCGAAGCACGTCGCTAAAAATTGAGATCTTCTGTGTTACTCAGGCTAATCTAACAACCTATTAAAGGTAAAGGAATAATTCTGCAAAGTTTTTTTTTTAAAAATAACCAATTAATTGTCGTTCTATGACATTTTAAAATTGGCGAACCAAAAAGCCTCTCATCTTTTTTTCACAACTCCAAACTAACCTCCCTGGGATAAGGTTAAATGTTAACTACAAGCCTGCCTCTTTTTATAGCGTTGCTCATGTATTACGCTTACTTTTTAAGATATTACAGCCGGGTTTGGGCAGCTCGTGGCGGTGTAATGGTTAGCAAGCTTGTCTCGCTAGGACAATTACGACTGAGTAGTGAGTTCGATCCTCACTGGGTGTCCCAATCTTTCGGCGTTGGGCCACATCTAAGCTGCGCCTGGGAAATCACTATTGCAGGTGGGTTGAAATATAATGTCAGTAACATTTGAAAATGTTTATTCACTTCTGGGCGATATAAAATTAACATAGATCGAATCTTTCGGATGTTCGATCTTCTTTCGAGAATACTCTCCTTCTCAACTCACAGGTACGACGTTCATGTAATATCCTGTTATCCGATTGTATTTGTAAATCCTTGGTTCAATTCCACTTTTATGTTGGTGAATAACACCCAGCCCGACATCGGTCGAGGTATTCTTAGATTAAGGTTCATCTTGATCATCTTGACAATCGGAAGGTGAAGCCCTATGTCAGAAAAGGCGATCGGCTCAACACGGAAAATAAATTTGAAGTGATGTGTAATATCCCTATGTACGGAGTTTAGTCAGAAATTACTCGAACTTTCGCCATACTACATCTTTAGGTTTGCCACGCTGTCTTCTGCTCATGCGTGCTTATAATTGGTACTATTGTGGTCACGTGATAGAATTTAGAGCTTTGACCGAGCCAGTTTACTTACTGCTGTCACAGTGTAGACATGGCGGAGCGAAAAGTGAAAAGGTACTAAGAGCTACAAAGGACAGGAAATTTTAAAGAGCCATGATCGTTTACGTTAATTTTCGAAGATTAAAGTTGGCTGAGAAGTATGGAGTCGGATGAGAGTTCCACAAACGAAAAATGCAAGAAAAGAAACCGTTCGCGTAGAATTTACGGTTTCATCGAGCCAATTCCACTGTGAATTGATGATAGCTTGCCACCAATATAGTACTACGTTTAAATTCATAAAGTCTATGTAGCATAGCGAAGAGTTCATCAGAACAATTACCATGACAGTATTTATAGAAAAGGCCAAGGGAAAGTAGATTACGGCTGTTGGTAAGTGACTGAGGTCGAGGCGATAGGTCAGGACCAATAATATTTCGGAATTTATCAAGAATCTCTATATATACAACCGGGGCAACGGACCAGATAGGGCAACAATATTCCATGCAAGGTCGGATGATAGATTTGTAGATGCGCCAGATGGATTCAAGAGAAAAACACTCAGCATGACACAGTGAAGCAACTTTCTTTGCAGCTGCCCTAGAAATTGATTCAATATAATCTTCCTACTTCATGTCAGTCGAGAATGTAAGTCTGAGAAGGCTCAACGGATCACACTCGTGGAGGATAGCATCAGCCATACTAATAGGATGAAGAAAGGAGTCTTTCACATGATTAATAGTTATCGGCCTCATTTTAGAAATTTTAAAATCAACAAGCCATTCGTGAACACATAGGGAGAGAAAAGGGAGATAACCGCATTCTTTGAGATCAGGTTGAGATCATAGACAAATAACACCATTGGAAAATTCGTAAACTTAAGGAATCAGCACATATGCAAGGCCACAAAAATCTCCTGAGCCGATCAAGCATAGAAATGAATACAATATGGGACCCAGTAATAAGGATTGCCAGAGAAAAGCGGTAACAACAAAAATTGCAATATGAGCTCCGGTAAAAACGTGGAATGATAACAGCAAAATTGCAATATGAGCACTGGTAAAAAATGTTTCCTGAAGACATTAGGTTTATAATACACAGACATTCATACACAGATGTCCTCAAGGACACATGGCACAGCGGATAAAGGCGTTGGTTAGATCCAGTGACAGGACCCAAAGAGTGTGAGTTCAATACCCGGCAGTGGAGAACTTGGACTGGAGATAACTGATTAAACATGGCACGTGGAACCAGAACAGTCTACCACAGTGAGCGAAATAAAGCGTTCAGTTCGACATTCCAACAGGGCGTACAACGACCGAAACGTTGTAATAAATATGGCGACAAAGATGAGGACAATAGTCCGAATAATGTAAATAATGTACACAATACCTCATCGTACAACGACCGAAACGTTGTAATAAATATGGCGACAAAGATGAGGACAATAGTCCGAATAATGTAAATAATGTACACAATACCTCATCTCAGAAATATAGACAGATACTGAAAGGCCAAAACGTTGTAATAAATATGGCGACAAAGATGAGGATAATAGTTCGAATAATGTAAATAGTCTACATAATACCTCATCTCAGAAATATAGACAGATACTGAAGAGCCGAAACGTTGTAATAAATATGGCGACAAAGATGAGGACAATAGTCCGAATAATATAAATAGTGTACATAATACCTCATCGCAGAAATATAGACAGATACTGAAGGGCCGAAACCCTGTAATAAATATGGCGACAAACATGAGGACAATAGTGTACATAATACCTCATCTCAGAGATATAGACAGATACTGAAAGGCCGAAACGTTGTAATAAATATGGTGACAAAGATGAGGACAATAGTCCGAATAATGTAAATAGTGTACATAATACCTCATCTCAGAAATATAGACAGATACTGAAGCCATTCCCAGTTAACAACAGACTTAAAGTCATTTTTGAGATCCACTGCCAATTTATCGAACTGATCAGACTTACTATCGGGACAGGAGTAAATGGTTTTGTTATCAGCATAGAAATATCAAGTTACTTGCTTTATTTCAAGTTCGTATCTTCCTAGAGCATTCTCTGAATTTATTCTATTCGGCACTTACCGTATTTCCGGCTTGCAAGACGCACTCTTTTTCCTAAAAAAAATACCCTGAAAAATACGTGTGCGTCTTCCAAGACGAATGTAAGGTAAATGTTGTTCTACAGAAGGATGCTGAGAATTCCATGAACGGATCGCGTATGAAACGAAGAAGTTTTAAAGAAAATGGAAACTAAAGTGTATGAGAGAGAGAGAGACATCGGAAATATCTTGGACACATGAGTAGGTGGTCGGGTTTGGAGAATTTAACATTTACAAAGTGAACTGGAAAGGCAGCCGGCCACCTAACAGATGAGCTTATGTGGATGGACAGCGAAACCCGAGAGTGGGAACGATGACCCAAAAGACGAACAGCACATACTAGGTGTAGTATCGTAGTAAATTAGAGAGACAAGTAAAGAACAAATGTCGAACATAGGGAAGAGCTATACGTAGCAAACCGGTTTGTTATTCAGAGTCCGAAGTCGAGCGACCGACTGACCGGCTGATCGGTTGAACTCTCTGCCTTCGGATGGGGAGGAACCCGAACGAGGCTATGCCGAAGGGCAGAGTCTCTTTCGGGGAGGTAAACCGACCCTAAACCCGTTTATACGGGTTCAAACCGGCCTTGTGCCACATGATGCCCTCGTGTTGGGGAGGGGTGACTAAATACCATTCAGAACATGGAGAACTATACTATGACTATTACTAGGCAGAGGGATTTGAAAAACGTCACAGTAGGCAAAGGTCATTAAAGGCACAAATTAGATAAGCCATAATTATAGCCTTGCGTGAGAAAAGTACAACCTTTTTAGATAATAACAATTTTAAAATTACCGATCTTTAATAAGCGCTTCTAATGAAATACCGTCGACCTTGAGTCAAACTATGCCAAACGGATAAAATTGCAACTAATTTATACTTCCTGGTTTGTGAACACGTCACTTGAATGCATCAATTGAGCGACGATAATAAACCTAGCATTGTTCAATGCAAAGACAGTTTTCACACCAGAGCGTTTAATTTAATGATCTCATCATCTGTAAGAGCCTCATTTTGAAATCATAATTTGTTAGCACTGCGCAGTGACGTGGAAACAAGATGGTGGAAACGAAAGGCTTGTACAATTTATTTATTTTTATATTTTTTTTATTTCTTTGTGGTTTTTTATTGATTTATTTTTTCTTATTCATGCCGTGTTTATTTTTGTTTTTTGTGTTTTTTTTCCGTTTAGTTTCGCATGTAAAAACGCCAACTCACTGCAACTCTGAGATTTAAAAAATTAAGAGCATTTTTTTGTTCGCCAAAGTCAAGTCGACGTGGAGTAGTCTTTTATACTGACTGTTGAATTCGATCTAGGTGCCAAATACTTGTGGTCTTGTGTCAAACAAATCTTAGCTTAGTAAATAACAAATACACTACATTTGGCTGCCTCACAGTTGGGCGATGGTTAGTGAGCTAGCCTAGTTGACCATTACAACTGAGTAGTGAGTTCGATACTCACTAGGTGCCCTATAATTCTGACAACGTGCCAGATTAAGCCAAGATAATTAAATAACAATTCAACTACCAATTATTGCCTCAAGGTTGGCCATTACAACTGAATAGTGAGTTCGATCCTCACTAGCTGACCCATACTTGTGACCACGTCTCAGATTAAGATAATTAAATAACAATTTCGCTACCAACGGGTGCCTCAAATTTGTCTAATTGTTTGGGATCCAACCTGAGTAGTGAGTTCAATCTTCACCAGGTGCCTCATATTTGTTGCCACGTGTAGGATTAATCCATGATAATTAAATAACAATTCCACTACTAATGGGTGCCTCAAGGTTGGTTAATGGCTTGAGAGTTAGCCTGGTCGGCTATTACAGCTGAGTAGTGAGTTCGATCCTCATTAAGTGCCCCATACTTTTGGCCACGTACCAGATTAAGCCAAGATATTCAAATAACAAGTTCACTACCAATGGATGCCTATAGTTTGGCTCGCCTGCTTGGCCATTACCGAGTCGTGAGTTTGATCTTCACTGTTCACCCCATACTTATAGCTCCGGTCCTCGTGGTTCAAAGAAAGATGGCCCTCGATGAGAACTACACACTCCATTAGCTCGAAGCCATTTTTAATCGTCAATATGAAAAGACGATTGTATACAGCTGACAGTTCAGATATTTTTGAAAGAGCTTGATGCCATGCAATAACATCCATATCAAAATCTCTGAAAAGGTTTTTAGGTTAAGATTTTCGGTCCTATAGAAATCCGTTCCGTTGAACGAAAATACCTCTAGCGCACCATATTCAATGTTCAATTTCATTATCTCCTGTAGTAAATTTGCTATAACCGATCCATACATGGAGGTATTTGAAGTATTTAGCATTTATTAATTATTATTATTGAGATGGAAAGCAGCACGCCAACAAAGGGACGTTATAGTAGAAATATACGTAGCTTAATAAACACATATCCTGGCAAATGTAAGCCACGCCCTATTCACACTCTTCTCTCCCGTCTCTTCTCTTCTTCCTCAGTCACTAGCCCCACTAGCTCTGTTGAGTAGTACCGACTTTACGGGTCATCCGGCTTTCCTTTCCCTCCACGGTTGGGGCCGGTGTGTTGTCTCGATAGGGTTAATTCTGGTTTCCCAAAATTTTATGATATTGGAATTGATGGTGAAGTCTAGTGATGGACCGAATGGGTACGTTGTGTACCACAAACGGGCGTAATTCCTATCTACTGCCGTGGCAAATTTTGTCTTTTGCGGCCAATGACAAAGCTGGAAATCAAGGCTGGAATAAGAACTCCATTAAAAATGCACAACACTGTTGATAACTATAACAAGAGTTTTATTGAATACCAATAAAAAATAAATAAATAAATAAAATAAACAGTGATGGTGATTTGAGAATTCCAGCAGTAGGTGCTATAAAATTAGTGGAAGCAAGATTCTGTTATGCGTGTCTCTGTGTTTTCGATCCACGGAAATGTGTGTGTATGTGATGGTGTTTCTTTATGAGATAGAGACCAGAGCAAATTCTGACGACTCTGTTGGGTCCGGTCTTCCGTGTGCTTCTTACACCCTTTTAGGCCTTTGTTTATATAGATGACACCCGATATAAT